AGTGGTTGGCAGAGCCAGGAGACAGCCAGTGCTGGAAATGTGTCAGCTCTACTGTCTGCTGTGATCTCTACCACTGCCCTTCGAGAAGGCGCCATGTCTCCATATTACAGCAGGGGAACCGAGTCTCTGAGAGTGGCGCTGTCTGCCCCTTTACACAGCCATAAAGTGGTAGAGCTGGGATCAGAAGCCAGGAATTATAGCGTGTGTGTCATTAAATAAATTCCTTAATCTCTTGGGGCCTCGATTGCTTTTGTGTAAAATGAGGAGAATCCTGCCCTGCCGCATGTGTATGTGCTTGTGTATATGGACCAGTCAGATGAGAAAGGGATGTGCAGGTGTGAGGTAAGCTGCAAATACTATTTGCTGGCCACCCACCAGGCTGGGCCCTTATATATTTATTCCTCATTGAGGCCCTATAAAATGTGAGGTGTGTGTAATGGTCCCACTTAAAGATAAAGGTAAGGCTTAAGGAGGGCAAGTATTTTGCCCATGGTCTCAGGTGGAGGATCTGCAATGGAAACCTAGGTTGGTAGGCTTCACTCTCCCCCACACCCCATTTGGCCTCCCCAGTGGCTGAGATGAGGAGGATCAATCCTTTTGGCCTGTGACCTTGGCTTTCTGATGGGCTGTGTTTTTCTTCCTTTGGGCTGGTTTGCAGAGTAAAGCTTGGAGAAGGGGCTTAGATTGCTTCCTTGGAACCAAGGTTTATCTTCCACCGTCAAAGGGGTCATGGGCACAGGGACCATACCTGACTGAGCCTGCCAACCAGAAGGGCTGTGGTATGCCTGGGCAGAAAGCAGACAGCTAGAAGGACCAGGGGAGCAGGAACCCCAACCTGCAGTCTCAGTAGCCTTGGGAAACAGTCTTGTCCCTCTGAGCTCCTAGAAGCCCCCAACCTCTGGGTTTGGGGAGAAGTCTAGGGAACTGAGAGCCTACAGAGCATATGGAGCCAGTGGTGTGCCACTGACACGTTGGACCATGGCGTAGCACAGCACAGCTAAGCCTAGCTCAGCCCAAGAGCCCAACAGAATCTGGGACCAGGGGCTTCCTGGCAGCCCTCCTTTGCCTCCTCCGGGCCGCTCTCCCTCAGGAGAGGGTGGCTGGCAAATGGAACATTGCCCTGGCTTGCTGTCTCCAACGGAGGTTCTGGTTGAAAGCTGCATCCATTCATCATATCGAGCTCACGGAGCATTGCTAGATATGGGCACAGCACTCCCTGGGGCGGTCAGGAGGAGGGGGTTAGACTGTCTCTAGGGACTTGAGGCCCAGAGATAGAGCTCTATGGCCGCGTCTTTAGAACAGCCTTCTTTCCCGACAGCCTTCCCCAGGGAGTCAGAAACAGCACACGAGTCACTGTGACAGAGGGGAAGTCCTGGTTCCTGCCATTTATTAGCTTTGTGACTTTGCCCAAGTCATACAACCTCTCTGATTGGGTCAAGTTTCTCCTGGGCCAAATGGAAATAGTAATTAATCTAGGAGGGATCCACCTCACTGGGCTATTAGGGGCACAAATAAAATTTCTATAGGCAGCAGTGGCTTGTAGCCCCAAATGCAATGCAGATGAAAGTAATGATGTCATGGCGAAAACAAAGCAGACATCTGAACACCTGTGAGGTGCGTGGTGCGAGTTACAGAAGTTAAGACACAGTCCTGTTAGGGAGGGATAGTGCAGAGCAAGATGAGCAAATTCCGGTAATGAGTTGCTCATTTTATTTTATTATTATTTCTTAATACTCTCCCGAGGATATTCTTCCATTGATTTTTAGAGAGTAGAAGAGAGAGGGAAAGACAGAGAGAAATATCGATGGAGAGAAACACATTGATTGGTTGGTTGCCTCCTGCACGAGCCTGGACCAGGGCCCAGGCTGGGGAGGAGCCTGCAACTGAGATACGTGCCCTTGACCGGAATCGAACCTGGGACCCTTTGGTCCACAGGCGGATGCTCTATCCACTGAGCCAAACCGGCTAGGGCCCCAGTTTTTAACCTGGGCTGCTAGAAACTGTTCTCATTAAGTTCTTTTGGTTGCAGACTCCTTCAGGCCACCTTAAGGTAAGAGGGGTTTTCTGAAGGGTGAGTGAGGCCCTCACACCTGAAGCATCCCCATGGACCATTTGGTCCCTTAAACTGGCCACACGGTCAGCTTCCCAGTCACTAGAAATTGGCTCATGTTCTCCTCCCACTATCGGGAGAAGCCACCTCAAGGCCTCTATCCCATCATGCTGTTTGCAGGGACAGCCTAGCCTCAACTTCATCTCATGGCTCCTTTCTGGGCATCTTTCGAGGGTCAGTTCACAATGCAGACCACCTAGTCATATAGGGAAACAGGCTCAGAGAGGGCAAGGGACTTGCCTGCTGTGGAAGGGATTCCTATATCAGACAGCAGTTTGATCAGATGCCTTTTGAGGTCCTCACTGATTAGACTAAAAGATACATGACTCTTCTGACTTCCAATAAGTAGATAGCCTACAACTCTTCAGGGTACATCCCGTGCATAAAGGGAAGTCTACCTGCAGTTAGAGAGCGTGCGATGTGCTGAGTGCTGGGTACAACCAGACCTGCAGTGTCTTCCTTCTCACCACCTCCAGGAGGGTTACACTCCTCTGCTGTTGGAGGAGAAGGCATTCAAATGACCACATTTTCTCAAAATTTTTTCAGTTTAAGCTTTTAAAAATCAAAACAGAATCTTCCCATTGACATGTACATTTAAAGAAGTGGTTTTTTTTGTATATTCCTGAGAAAGTCTTGCCAAATCAATGGTGTAGCTGAAAATCAGTAGTGTCTTAGTATCCAGGAAATACGCTCGCTTGTTTTGTACCCGATTGAAATTCCGGTTTGCGGTCTGATGTTCGGGCTTTGAAACTGCCAAAGCTGTTATCTGTCATCAGTTACAGAAAAAAGCACAGAACTTGAATGTGTTCCCTGTGTGTCTGCAGTTCCCCTGTGTGTCTGCACTTGGGAAAAGTGGATATTTCTGAGGCCCTGCAATCAGAGCTTATCAACAAAGACAGATCCGAGGTGTCAAATAGGCATGTATTACGTGGGAATTCTTTGAAAACTGGTCATCTCAGGTGAAAGCCTTGCCCTCTCTGAGCCTTAGTTCCCTCATTTGCTAACTGGGGGGACTTGACCAGATATGATCCACATCCGTGACTGCCAAAGCTTCTCGCTGACTGACTCCCTTTCATTCAGGGAACTAGAAGGCTCCTCCTCTGACTTGTGTAGTTGAGTGTTTGTAGGTGGTGAAAGGCAGGATGGCTTGTGATGCATGGTTCTTTGGTTTTCGCTTCCTCGGTGTTTGGGGGTTGCAGGACCTGATCTGAAGGCGTGGTCTCTGCTTTTCTCTTCTCAAGGAGGGAAGGGGAGTGTCCTCAGGCCTTGATTTTGCCTCTAGGCAGTGAGAGGGTCAGACGTTTAAGACTGGGATGACCAGTGTCCGTGTGCCTAGGGTGGCCGGGTTGGCCGCCGCTTGTCGTCCTTCCTCAGCTGTTCAGCGCCGAGGCTATTCTCAGGCGTGTGCAGTTCCCCAGAAAACTTGCACTGAAGTAGAGGACCTGCCCTTTTGTGTCTCGGAGGCCTCGGCTGTGCCAGGGCTCCTCCCTCTGCTCTTCTAACCAGTAAAAGTCAGCAGTGCATTTCCTTCCGGCAGAGAGAGAATCAGAATTGAGGCCTGGCCAAGCCCTGGCCTCACCATGTCCTGTTCCTGAGAGCCTCCTCCCAGGCGCCTCCATGCCTTCGCCCCTCCTTTCTGGGAGGTCAGGCAGGACCGAGTGCAGGCTCTTGGCTAGGAGCTGACTTGGGTTTGAGTCTGGGTTTTTCCACTGATTTGCTGTTTCACTCTGAGCAAGACGCCCTCTCTGGATATCTTACCTCTCACTGTTGTCAAGCACTTTTTAAATTGGAAAAAAAAAAAAAAAAAGGAAGCACAAAAAGGAAATTTACAAGCTCCATAATCCACCACTTTAAAAAATAACTTCAATAAGAGAGAGTGTGTATAGAGAGGTACACATATACATTTTGTTGTTGTTTTACTGATATTGCTCTATAGATTAAGTAGTAAAACATATGTAAACACTCAGACTGCAAATGCTAGTCTCCTCTTTCTCATTGCCCCTCCTGGAGACTCACTCCTTAGAGGAAACCCACTCACTCAAAGTCCCTTCTGGCAAAGCCAGGGATTCCTCCCCCAGCCTGCCTCAGCTGCTTTGGGGCATGTCTGCCTGCATGGGGCGGATCTCCATGCTAAGGTCTTTTCCCCACTGAGCATTCAGTGCCAGTAGAAAGTTAATGCCATGAGGTCCAGGACTTTGGTCTGGTCACATGACTGCTTCCCCACAGCCTGCCCAGATGCCCTGGCCCTAGAACAATGCCCACACAGCTGTGATAGCTGCTCAGTTGGTAGATGGATGTACAAATACAGGTGGTATTTGTTGGGGCTTTGATGTGTGTGTAGGATTTTGATTGGTAGAGACAACTTGGAGAGCGTTCCAGCAAAAGGACTGGCATGAGCAAAGTTTGGAAGGTGGGAAAGGGCCAGGGTGTAATTGGGGAAACTATGAGTAACTAGTTTTGCTGGAGTGAAGAGGTGAGCATGTTATTTCTGTACTCGTTAGACTAGTTTTTTCATCCACCTCTGCGCTTTGCAAGCAGGCCCTCTGAAGAGGCTGATTTTCAAGACAGATCTAGAACAGGAATGTTTTGCTCTGGTGCACAAATGCAGGCACTCCGGCCTCTGCCTCAGAAAGACATGGTGACCCTTGGCCCCTTGACACATTGGGGGAGTAGGCACTTGAACCTGATGTCTCTCTGGACTATGCCTTTCAGGGAGGGGGCAGAGTTTCCTCCCATCTGTGTCAGGGCATTCATGAGTTAGCAGCCCCAAAGGGAACGGCAGGGATGGAGGGCAGGGGGAGAAAGAGGACTGACAACTGCTGGCTAGGACCTATGCCAAGGCCTTTGCTTCTCTTGGCACCTCTGATCGGCCCTGCCCTCTGCTCCACAGGCTGGAGGAGGTCCCTCTGGAGGTGCTGAGGCAGAGGGAGTCCAAGTGGCTGGACATGCTCAACAACTGGGACAAGTGGATGGCCAAGAAGCACAAAAAGGTGAGGGGCCCAGCCCTGGGCCTTGGGCTGGGAGTTGGGCTGGGGGAGGAAGAGGGAGAAACTGTATTAGCTTAGAGGAGCAGGGGCTTCTCCAGGTGCCAGTTGCCTTAGGTGTGCCCCATCTAAGCTCTGCAGCGGGAACAGAAGCTGTGTGGAGGGCACGCCCAGCCTTCACTTGGTCCTCCCACGTGACTTCAGACACATGCAGAGTTTGTCCTGGAATCAAACTTCAAAGCTGCTCTCAGCTAAAAGCCCTTACAGGCAGCTTTCCTCCACCCCCTCCTGGGGGAGTCCTTACTGCTGCTTACGTCTGGGGAGGACTTTATGATGCTGATAACAGCTAACGTGTCGAGCATTGGCCGCGTGCTGGACAGTTGACTTGGATAATCCTTACAACAGTCCAGTGAGGTTGGTAGTAGTGATACCCCCACTTTACAGATGACCTGCAGAATTAAAATGTGAACCCCGGTATCTAATAATGTTAGTGCCTATGCTCTTTATCACCACACTAAGGGGATTTCTTCACCCTCTAGATTAATTTGATGAGTTTCCTTTTGCCTCCTGGCCAAAGCAAAAAGAAAGAAAAGTACCTCGCAGTTTAATAGTCATAAAAACGAAAATGCGAGTGGGCCTTGTCTAGTCAGGCTATCTTTAGGCACCAACTCTGTTGTCCGGTAGGAATGTCTTAGATGTGTGTGTATTGGTACTCTGGCCCCGTTGACAGGTTCTGGTTGCTCCCTGGCCTACTGGAGGTCTGTCCAGAGCCTCACAGCTGGGGTCTCTGAATAAGTTCCTAGTGCAGAGAGTGAGCCCCTGGCTCACTGTCATCAGCTGGCACACGGGTGTGGTCTAGGCTGGCACAGCTAGCTGCAGGGCCTAGCTGGGGCCCAGCCCCACTGCCTTCCTCTCTTCATGCCCAGGGTCAGCTGGGTAACTTGGCCCTTACAGCCTCAGTTTCACTGGTCACGTGGGAATGACAAGTGTTGCCAGGCTCTCCTGGGAGGTGTGACTGTAAAGCCCTGTGCGCGGGGAAGAGAGGTGCAGCGAGGCCTGGGCTCTTTCCTGCTGTTCTGTGGGGGCGTTAGGGCACTCATTTTTTGCTGCTTATTAGAATGTCTTTCTCTCTTTCTCTTCTCTTTATTTATTTATTTTTATTGTTTAAGGCAGCTGCTCCTCAGCTGCCTCCAGTCTGACTCTGGGGTCTGTTTTCCTGCCTCCTCACCCCTCAGGCTCGTACATGAGCTTCAGCTCCTCCACTGTCTGGTGTGGTGACTAGTGGCTCTCACCTTCTTGCCGCAGCCTCCCTTGCAAACGGGGATTCCAGAAGGGTGCCTTGGGGAGTTCCTCTCAGCAGAGCACCCAGCAGCACTTCCTCTTCCCCTTTGCTTCCCTGACACTGTGGTTAGAGGCTGAGGGCTACCCCTGCCCAGAAGGGGCCACCACAGGAGGCCTCACCCCCGCCCCTACCCAGAGGCCCTAACCTTCTGCTCTACGCCTGCCCCCTCGGCTGTGGCTACACTGGCCCTGGGAGTTTGCCTGCCTGACTGTGCAGGCTTGGGCTCTCCCTGTGGTGAAGAAGTCATGGCACAGGAAGGACGATACCTGTTTCAGGAAGTGTGTTCAGACCCAGCACTTCTCCTGGACTTATCTGGAGTCCCCAGGAGGGGGCCCAGCCCTGTGGCTAGAATGCTGTCTGCCCCCATGGCTCTGCTGGAGCAGTGAGCTCAGCAGGCAGGCAGTGGTCTCAGCTGCAGTCACAGCGGCCTCCTTTCCCCGGGCGTTGCCTCGGAGAATGATAGCCCCTTATGCTTTCTGTTCACCCGAGCACTCTCTGCTGCTTTACCCTTGCTGATCCCCATCATTGCCTTCTTCCTAAGGCAGGCACTGGAGATCCCCTCTGTGCTGAGGAGGATTCCAGAGGCCAGAACGAATCTTGCTCCCCAGCCCTGAGCCTGAGCGAGGGCGTGGCCTCTTTGAGAACCTTAGTGGACTGAAGGTGTTCCAGGGGGCTTCTGGGGCAGACCACATATGACAGGGCTGTGATGAGGCGGGGGCTGGTTTGGCTGATGACCCTGAGGGGAGCCTAAAGGCCTGTGACTCTGGGCCACACTACATCCCTTTGTCAAAACCTGCCCAGACCAAGTGGCTTCCTTAAGGAGACCCTTGTCCCACAGCAGCAGGAAACTGTTCCCAGAGTCTGGGGCAGTTCCCTTCCGCTCCCTTTCTCCCCCCACTTTGCAGGCAGTCCCAGAGCTTCAGTTTGGCTCCTGTGACCAGTGACTCTGCCTTCCCCCACTGCCCTCAGCCTCTGCCTCCTTCCTGGTTCTTGACTCTCTCTGACCCTTGGAAAGTTTTCTCTTGTTTGTGCTGGTCATCAGGAAGGCCCGGCTTTCTGTGCTCCCTCCTCTGAGGGTTTCAGTGGGATTGTTTGAGGGGGTTTCCAGGTGAGGGGATGGTAGGTGTGATCCCAAGGCCCTGGAGCTCCTGTGTCAGGCATCCTCCTGGGATGGAGGGGTGGAGAGGACACCCCTCCGTTTACTGAAGACAGACTACTAGGCATGGTCCCTCACACCCCCATTCTTTCTTTCTTTCTTTTTCTTTTTTTTTTTTTTTTTACGAAGAGCCAAACCCAGACTCGAACAGCCGAACCCAGTGCTGCAGGGGGGAGCCTACCCCCCAAGAGCCAAGTCTAGACCTGAAGAGCTGACCCTAGTCTTGAAGGGGAGCCTAGCCCCTAAGAGACTAGCCTAGCCTCAAAGAGTCCAGCCGAGCCCTGAAGAGCCGGAGCTAGTTTCCAGCGGCTGACCTTGCTTCCCAAGAGCCAAGCCTAACCCAAAAGATCCCCTCTCCCCATTCTGATAGAATCCTAGGTATTGTCATTCTGATACTGCGATCAGGGAAGCTGCCTCAGAGCCTCATTCAGTCCCAAGCCCAGGGTGAGCTTGCCTCCTGTCTGGCTCTGAGAGGCCAGTGAGGTCAAAGGTGCACGGGACTGGACCCCTCTAGCCTGGGAGTGTAGCTCGGAGCTGGTCCTCTGTAGTGTGGTCGCCTCTGACAGTATGACCTTGATATTCTTCCCACTCTTTGCCTCATTTTCCCCATTTGTGAAAGATACGATGGTTTTTCAGAGTGGGTTTTGGCAGGGAGGCCTTTTTTTTCCTGATAAAGAATAGCTAGGATATGAATTGAGCACTAGCTCTGAGTCATGTGCCACCCAAACACTTTCTCTCTTCCCTCTCCAGGCCTTGAGTGGTGGGGAGGACCTGTGCCATTTTAGCACCCAGGCTAGCTGCCTCTGACCGAGGGAGCTTGGGGCTGGGGAGAGCAGAAGAGAGGCAGGGACTCTTGACCAAAACAAAGAGGAAGCCATTGTGATCAGCTCCGATCTTCTTTCTAAGTTGTGCTGAGATCTCTCCTCTCTAGGCTGGCTGTGTCCTGCTACACGGCTACTTACACACCCCCATGAAAGTGTCCCAGCCACATTCTTGGGCATTTCATGAGCTACCCTCCATGTGGCTATAGCTGTGCACCGCACTGTGCAGATCCTTCCTGGTTACGTCCTATGGGGCGCCTCCAACTTGTATTGTTCCATTTTGATTCCGAAAATGGTGATAAGGATTCAGAATTTGCTGTAGCCCTCAGGAATGCCTGCACTATCACTGGACTGGGGGATGTGAGGACTCTGCCATCACCTGGTGGCAGCACAGTTAATTGCAGCCACCCCCTCCCCCAATCACAGGCTCTGCACTGTAGCAATAGTAGGAAAGTCCTTGTTTCTCCCCTTGCGAATGTGCTCACGGAGGGCCTGCCATGCCCCAGCAGAGGGGCTGGGCTGGCACGAAGCCCCTGGTGGAGCTGCTGGTGGATGTGTTGGCACATGCCTCTTTTTCGCTTTCAGATCCGTCTGCGGTGCCAGAAGGGCATCCCACCTTCTCTGCGGGGCCGTGCTTGGCAGTACCTGTCAGGGGGCAAGGTGAAGCTACAGCAGAACCCTGGAAAGTTTGACGTGAGTTGCCTTTCCTCCACCCTGTCCTTCCTTCCTCGTCTCTTGGCTCTTCCCCACGGCAGTGATCCCCCATGCGTCACCCGGACCTCAGCACAGTGAGCAATGGCTAGAACCACCCGCCAAGTACTTGACTGCCCATTCCAGCCTTTTCTCTTGACAGTCACTCAGGTTCGCTTTCTTTGGCTCAGTGGGCCACCTCCCAGCTCTTGTCTATCAGGAAGGGACACTTAGACCAGTGCCCTGACTGCCGTGGGCCCTGTGCTTAGGGCCTTTGGGCGCCTGCCCAGTAGGACTACAGAACCCAGAACACTTCCGGGCCTCCCAGCTTCTACTCTCTCTCTTGTCTCCTCCAACCCAGCCAGACATGGTTCACCTCTGTTGCTTGTGGGGTTATCAGCCTGGGGATGGCAGAGAGAAATTAATATCAGGGGTCAGAAGCCGTTTAGTGGCCAGGATAAGAACACCCCTTCACTCATGGGGCGTCTTGGGCTTGCCTGGGCTGGGCAGCTCCTCCAGCCTGCTCCCAACTGTGGGAGGCAGTTGGCTTTCCTGGCGTTGCCCCAGTTTACCTACCAGAAACCCATTAGGGTTTCTCCCCGGCTCTTGGGACGGGTGACAGGAAGACCGTGAGAGAGCTGCTAACATACTTCATGCTTCAGTGAACACTGTTCCCAGGAACTGTGGGCAGAGCAGGGCAGCCTTGAGTTTCTGCTGTTTACTGAGAGAGGGTGAGAGCTGTTTGCAGGCAGAACTTGGCACTGGAGGTCAGGAAATCTGGTGGAGTGTCTGCCTGGGGGCAGCTCTGAATTAGGGCAGTTGGACTGGTTGCCAATACCTGGCCCCACTCAAGCAGCCTCTCCATTTCAGAGTCTTACTCCCAGTGTGGCTACATACCTTCAGTTTCAGGGAGCTGCATCCTGGACAGAGTGGGAGGCTCAGGGTGGGAGCCCCACCTAAATCTGTAGCTTACTTCTGACCGTCAGAGGTGCAGCATGAGATCTGAGAGCTGGGGCATCCTGGCCAACCTCCTGTTAGCAGCTGTGAGTGCATCTTGTGTGAGCAGCAGAGCACAGAGCTGTGTGTGCGTTGTATGTGTGTTGAGTGGTGTATCTGGAAAGGGAAGGGCCACCCCTATGAGGTCTTCAAGGTTGCTTGTGGAAGAAGGTAGATTTGCTAAGAAAGGTCTTCAAGATGTCCTGAAGCAGAGTGCTGGGCCCCTGAGGCAGTCCTAGGGGCTGGAACAGTGGCTTATGAGCACGCCTGTCTCTGCCGCAGGCTCCTGATTGTGGGAGCTCAGAGTTGGGGAGAGCAGAAGAGACGGGGATTTTTGACCAAAACAAAGAGGAAGCCATTTTGATCAGCTCCGATCTTCCTCCTCCCTCCCTCCCTTTCTCCCTCTCCCTCTCTCCTCTCTCTCTCTCTCTCTCTCTCTCTCTCTCTCTCTCTCTCACACACACACACACACACACACACACACACACACTCCACACCTTCCCTACAGGGATACCGGTAGCAGAAGAGTTGGGATTGACAGCTCTGAGTCAACCTAGCTTCCAGGCCCAACGCAACTCCACCATTTTTCTAATCACAAAGCCTGGGCAAATGGCTGTTCTCTGGCCCTCATCTGTGAACAGTATGATGCTAGGACCTTTATGGTAGCCTCCATCTTAAGGATGTGACGTAACGTGAGTCCTGAATGAAATTCCTAGACGTTGCTTCCAGCTACAGCTATGATGGACATTCTTACCCACAAGGTCTTCCTGGAGCCAGAATCACCCCTCAGGTTTCCAGTCCTTCCCCACCCTTGCCTCTTTGCCCCTCCCAGGCTTTTTCATTTGGGCTTCCTGACCTACCCTCAGGAAGGCCCAGTCCATGATGGGATTGGGTGGCCTTGCTCCTGGCTCGGGGCTCCTCCAATATTTAGGACAGTTGTGTCACCCTAGCCATCCTAACTCCTAATGTATCCCCTTGACCTTGCTTCCAGGAGCTGGATATGGCCCCGGGGGACTCCAAGTGGCTGGACGTGATCGAGCGTGACCTGCACCGGCAGTTCCCTTTCCACGAGATGTTTGTGTCCCGGGGCGGGCACGGGTGAGCAGGCTGGGTGTGGTGGTCTGGTAGCGGCTTTAGGCCCTGTCCCTCAGGAGCCAGAGGAGGTCAAATGAGTTTGGGGGTGTTGTGGGGCCCAGGAGCTAAAACTATACTTTAGAGTTTTCCTTCTTTGGTTTGAGTCTGATGGTCCTCGTAGCATCTCTTACCTCTGGGGCAATTTTCATCATTTACTCCTCAGAGTGTTAGAACTTACCCAGCCTGATCATCCCCTGGAAACAGGTTTCAGTGGGGAGAAAGAGTGTGAGAGACAGTGGGGTGAACAGGGGTCTGTAGGGAGAGAGGTGGCAGGCCAGGGGTCCGAGACAGATCCCTGGGATAAAGGTGGGCTTGCTGAGGTGCCCCTGCTTTCTCCTTGAGGCTCTGCTCTCACCCGTCAAGTGGGGCAGCCCCTTTCTTCCTCCATCCTCTGGCCACGTGAGAGTTTTTGTGCTGCAATGGGAGACTGACCCCTTCGTGACCACAGCCAGGTCACGTCCCCTCTCGAGAGAAGTACAGATTCTGAGCCAGGTCTGGTCTAGGGCGGCACAGATGAGGGCAGTGGTGGCAGAGTCACACCTGCCACCCTGCCACGCTTGGCATTTCTACAGCCAGCAGGACCTATTCCGTGTGCTGAAGGCCTACACGCTGTACCGACCTGAGGAGGGCTACTGCCAGGCCCAGGCCCCCATCGCCGCTGTTCTGCTCATGCATATGCCTGCTGAGGTACCGCCAGGCCCTGGGCAGGCACGCGGGCGGGCAGGGAACACCCAGCAGCAAGGCCTTATGTCTCTCTCACCCACAGCAAGCATTCTGGTGCCTGGTGCAGATCTGTGAGAAGTACCTGCCCGGCTACTACAGCGAGAAACTGGTGAGTGCTTGCTGGGCCCAGGACCTGTCTCCAAGCCTTTCTCTCCGCAGGCACTCTTGCCCCTGCTCGAAACCTTCTCAGCCTTCTGTTGCTTTCAAGCTAAGTCCCCGGGCCTGCAAGGGCCAGGCCTCCCAGGCGCCAGCATCATCGGTTCCACACTTGTTTCCATCCCAGCCTTCAGCTGTCTGGCCACTGCAGACTCATGGTTCCTCCAGTGTGCCATGTGTCTCCCTGCCTTGGCCTTGGCACAGGCTTCACCCCTGTCCCTTTCCTTCCCTGCCTTCTTCTGACAACAACTCCTTTCTGCCCTCGGGAGCTTTCCTTGACCCTTACAAGTGGGACTGTGGCACATGCTCACCCAGGGTTCCTGTTCCTGCCATGTTCTAGGTACTCAGTCCCCCTCCCACTCCCCTCATCTGTTTGCTCCTGTGACTCATGTCTTCACTACATGCTCACAAGGGGGACTGGCTGTCTGTTGGTTCATCATTGTATCCCAGAATCCAGCATGAGGCTGGCTCCCTGTAGGAGTAGCCACCTGAGGAATGAATGAATGCTTGCCTGGTGCTGGGGCCTGGGTGCAGTCCCTGCCCTGGCTGATGCTGGTCCATGGTCATGGTCTCACTGTTCCCCCAGGAGGCAATCCAGCTGGATGGGGAGATCCTCTTCTCTCTGCTGCAGAAGGTGTCACCTGTGGCCCACAAGCACCTCAGCCGGCAGAAGATCGACCCACTGCTCTACATGACAGAGTGGTTCATGTGTGCCTTCGCCCGCACCCTGCCCTGGAGCTCTGTGCTGCGTGTCTGGGACATGTTTTTCTGCGAAGGTACCAGATTGAGCTCTGGGGAGCACTCCTGCCCCCAGCCCAGCCCACAGGGGATCTCTATTTTCAGAAACTCCCTAAAGGCCCTCTTGCACTCACTGCCTGCTCCCCCTTACAGGAGTCAAGATCATCTTCCGGGTGGGCCTGGTGCTGCTGAAGCATGCGCTGGGATCCCCGGAGAAGCTCAAGGCCTGCCAGGGCCAGTACGAGACTATCGAGCGGCTGCGCAGCCTCAGCCCCAAGATCATGCAGGAGGCCTTTCTGGTCCAGGAGGTGCGGGCCACACCTTCCCCTCACCACTTGGAGGGGGAGCCGTGCGGGCCCTCTGCCCCCGAGGGTGGGTCATTGGTACCAAGCTCAGTGCCCAGCAGTCCAGCATGGTGTGGTAGAGCCCATCCTTCTAGCTGAGTGAGAAGGAGGGGCACAGAGAGGCCTCAGTCTGGGGGCCTTCCCGTTCTGGACCTCTTGGGAATGAGAAGAGCTGCAACCCCTCACCTCTCTTCCTCTGGTACCACATCCACGACTTGGCTTTAATTTCCCTTTTTTCTTTCTTTTGTGTATTTTTCTCTCTCAGGGGCTGTAATTAGCTGACACATAATTAGGCGAGTGGAGTCATGAGTTGTGGGCAGCGGGTCTCAAGTGCCTGGCTCACCACCACTAGGGGACTTGTGACCACCGCAGGGGCCAGACCTTCATTCTTCCTGTGGCCAGCCTGTAGTGACCAGACTGGGGGACTCCAAGGCAGAGCCGGGACCCAGGCTGGAAGGCCCAGGGGAAGGTTCTTCCTGGTGCCCACCTGCCTGTCACTGCTCCCACAGGTGATCGAGTTGCCAGTGACAGAGCGCCAGATTGAGCGTGAGCACCTCATCCAACTACGGCGCTGGCAGGAGACCCGCGGTGAACTGCAGTGCTGCTCGCCACCCAGGCTGCATGGTGCCAAGGCCATCCTGGAGGCAGAACCAGGCCCCCGGCCCACCCTGCAACCATCACCGTCCATCCGTCTGCCCCCAGATGCCCCGCTCCCTGGCTCCAAAAGCAAGTCCAAGCCACCCAAGCAGATTCCGAAGGAGCCGCAGAAGCAGGAGAAGGCGAGTGGGCAGCTGGACAAGACCCCAACGCCAGGTCAAGCCAAGATGGCGATCGCTGGCGGAGATGCATGTCCTCCACAGGATGTGCCCCCGAAGGACCCAGTCCCCCAGGACCCATCCCCTCAGGACTCAGCTCCCCAGGTTTCAGCCCACCACTGCTCCCAGGAGAGCCTGGGGTCCCAGGAGAGTGAGGACACCTACTTGTAACCCTGGCATCTCAGGCCTCCAGGGCGGGGTCTCCACACACCTACATGGTTCACGGACTGACACACACACTCCAGGGCCTGCCCACCCTCTGAGGGTCTGGCTGCCTGGCTACTGTGTGCAGAGAGTCTGGCTGGCCCAGTACAGGTTCTGCCCAAGCCTCCTTATTTATTTTCTCCAGAGTGGAGCTCGGGCCGATCCAGCTGGGGCAGGCAGAAGTGAGGGCCTCACTCAGGCCTCTCCTTCTGGGGGGATGCTCCCCAGGGCTAGGGCACTGATGAGGGGAGAGAGTGGGGTGCAGGGTGGGGTACTCTTTGTGTAAAATAGAAACATGGTTTTGTACAGAAATAAACAGGTTTGTATAGAGAGCTGGTGTGCAGCTAAGGGCTGGGCAAGGGGGTGCCACCACCCCTGGTGCTCAGCATCTCTTCCACTTCCTACAGAGCCCACATCTGGGCCTCAGCCAAGCACCAGAGTCTCTCTGAGAAGTACCTTGCCAGAGGGGGTGCCAAGTCCAGGGCCAGCCCCTGTTCCTGGTCCCCATTTCCCTTACTCCATCCCTCAGCCCCTTGTCCACCATCTACCATGGGTGAGAGTCACCAGGGCTGGAGCCCAGTGCTAGGGCAGAGCGGGCATACTCCCCAGGCCTTGATTCCTGCTCATCACTGATGGGGTGGAGTTCCTAAGATCCTTTTAGGGTGTTCTCCATAAGGCTTGGCCTGGATGCTACTTTTGGACCTCTATAAGGTTCTTTTTTTTTTTATTGATTTGGAAGAGAGAGAAGTATTTTGTTGTTCCACTTACTTATGCATTAATTGGTTGATTGTTGTATGTGCCCAACTGGGGATGGAAACCACAACCTTGGTGTATTGGCGACGCTCTAACCAACCGAGAAAGGTTGAGTGTTCATTCTGGGTTGGCTGCTGGCACCATAGGTGGGAGACCATGAATGCCCTTACATTACCACCCAGGTTTCCATTGATAGGAGGGGAGAGGGCTGGGTCTTTGATAACAAGCCACCTGTCGCTTACTGAGCACTTAGCATGGTCCACGCTGGGTTGGTTGCGTCACCAGCTGATGATCAGGTAGCTCTGTTATCTCCATTTGACAGGTGAGGCAACAGAGCTGAGTGAGAGGTACGCTGGTCCCAGTTTGCTCCCAGAGCCCCTCAGCTACCTCTCCTGGCCAGGGTGCCAGAGGACCTGACTGCCATGGAGGGCCCAGGCAGGCTCTATGGTCACAACCTGATGACTGTTGAGGTTATGGACAGGGTGTCCCTGGGAGAGGCCCCCCTTCTGCTGAGGAAGCAGCTTTTCCAGTCAAACAATAGCGGTTGTTCTTGGCAGGCCACCAGGCGAGGCTGGGCTATGGAGGGAGGAGGCGCGAGAGGCAGGAGTAGGGCCTCCCTCGGAGCTTTCAGGCACCTCGGGGCTTTAGTCTGGAACATCTTGTTCTGGTACAGCTGGGTATACTGAGGCCTGGGGAGGTCAAGGGTCACATGAGCCTGTCAGGGCAGGCCATCACTTCCTGCTTCCCAACCCTCACACCTGTGGTTTTCCCACTGGCTCTGCACCATTGGTGAGAAGAGGGGTTCAGCCTTTGAGGACAGTCCCCTCCCCCTGACCCTCTAGGGGACAGGCCAGGATGTGGTGGCTGCACAGTGTTCCACAGGAACCCACTGAGCCAGAGAGTCCAGGGAGGGGAGGCACTGCGCCACTTCATCCGCCTACAGTGGAGGCTCCCAAGCAGGCAGGAGGCCTGTGTAGGCCTGCTGGGTCCCAGTCAGGCCTGAGGCCTGCTTTAACCTGCTTGGTTCAAAGCCTCAGATCTGAGGCCTGAAGATGCTTGAGCCAGACAAGGGCCCCCCAGAGCATGCTTAGTCCTGCTACTGGGCCAGCCTGGGTGGACTGATGCCTGCTCAGCCTGGGGGTCTTCTTAGACCCGGGGAGGCCTAAGCAGAACCCAGTCCTAATGTCAAAATGAGCCCAAGTGGGTCCTAACAAGCCTCAGATCCGGGGCATCTGCCAGTGCTGGGGCCTCCTTGGGCACAAAGCAAGTTTAGATATGCTCAGGCTGGGGGGGTTCGTCTAATGGCTGCTGGCTTAGGGAGGCTCAGCAAGGCTCAAGCCTCAGGTCTGAAAACACTACCCAGGGAGCCCCAGATGCCTGGGCCCGTCCTCGGAAGTCTGAGCCTTGGGCATTACTGGCCTCGGTCTTGAGGGGCCTCCTTACTCCTGGCTGCCTGCAGCACCCTACCCAGCAGTAGGACAGAGGTGGGTGGGGCCCTTACTATCTCTGCGACCCTGGTGGGGAGATGGATCCCACGACAGGAAGGAGGAAGAAAGGTGCCAGGATACTTTGTTGGGAGAGAATTGTAGGGTTCCTGGGGCTGCAGAGTGGACCCCTACCCCTCCACGCTTCAGGGTTCTGGAGGCAGCGCCTCAATGACCTCAATCATAAGACCCGCATGAGGGCCTGAAGGACAGAAAGGACCCCACGTTTCCTGCAAGCTTCGCAACCAGGACCCACCCGCGTCTCGCAGAAAGGGTGGAGCTCCGAGAAGAGGCGCGGCCTGGGCGGGGTCTGAAGGACGACGGGGCGGGGTCAGCTGGCTGTCCCTAAGCCAATGTTAACGGGGTGGAGGCGGGGCTCTGTTGATAGAAGGGGGCGTGGCCTCCTCTGATAGGCCGCGCTCCTCGCAGGGCGTAGCCGGCGCGGCGCGGGGATGGGCGGGTCTAGGCCTGGTGGCCGGCGTGGACTGGCGTGAGCAGCGGCTCCTTTAAGCCCCCGGCCCCGCCCCCCGCCCCGTCCTCGGCGTGGCCCGGGTCTGGCCGCGGAGGGGTCGGGTCCGCGGGACCGCGATGGAGCTGCACATCCTAGAGCACCGCGTGCGGGTGCTGAGCCTCGCCCGCTCCGGCCTCTGGCTCTACACCCACCCGCTCATCAAGCTGCTCTTCCTGCCCCGCCGAAGCCGGTGCGCGCGCGAGTTCGGGGCCACAGATGAGGGTGGGCTCCACTAGCGCCCCGGGACGGGGTCGGGAGGGTAGGGACGCCGCGGGGCCCGCGGGGACGGGCGGGGAGGGCCCATCCCCCTTCCGCCCCCCCACCGCGGCCGCCATCCGGCCTGGCTTCACCCTCCCCGGGACCGCCGCCTATCCGGGCCAATTTTAGGCCAAAAAACCCCAAGGGGGGGGGAGGCTTTAACCCCGGGGGGGATTCAAATTTCGCGGCGGATTTCCCTAAGAGCTACGGGGAAAGGGTTCCCTCCCGGGGCCCCTCCCCTCGGGGGAAGAGGGGCCAAGTCTAGGCGATGCAGGTCCCCCCCCCCCGGGGCTGGTTCCCGCGCGCGGGCCAGCTCTCCTCCTCCGGGAATGGAGGGGTTGGGGGCGGGGGGCGCTCCTACGGAGGGGGAGGCGGGAAACAGCTCGCAGTTCCCGAGATGGGGCCCGTTCCCCACTGGGAGGAAACTGAGGCTTGAAGGGGCAGGGAGCGCCCGGCCGAGGGGTCTCTACGGGCGGACGGAGCGGTCTGCACACCCCTCCTCCCAGCCCAGCCTGACGATGTCTCCCCCACCCAGGTGCAAGTTCTTCAGCCTGACGGAGACTCCCGAGGATTACACGCTCATGGTGGACGAGGAGGGCTTCAAAGGTGGGGCGGGGCGGGGCCGGGGAGGGAGGCCGTGCTTCCCTCTTGGCGGGTTCTCACTGATGCTGGGGTCCAGTGACTCAGGGCTGAGCCTTGGACTCCAGAGCGGGCGGGCGCACTGGCTGGGTGCCCTTGAGCAAGTCATTTCCCCTCTCCGAGCTGTTTGTTTCCTCTTATTTAAAAGGGGTGTCGTGAATGGCTCTGATCTAATGGGGTCCCCCGAGGGTTTTATAAACAGGCTGCGTGTGACGGGCGCTTGGCAGCGCCAGCCTGGCAGCAGGGCCTCGGTTATGCGGCTGTTCCACCCCCCTGGCCATTATTTTTCCCTGGACTTCTCTCCCTGGTGCTGGCCATCCCCTCCCTGACTCTCTGGGAACTCCAGGCGTCTGAGGGCTGGGGAGGGACTGGAGGCAGGGAGCAGGCAACCAGCCCAGGGCAGGGTCCTGGGGGCGGGTGGGGAGTGGGGGAAAGGGACCGCTTCGCTGTGCTTGGGCAATGAGCAGCCACCCTGGCCCCAGCCCCTAGTCTGGACTGGACGCCAGCCTGGGCCCTCCCTGGCCTGTGGAGCTGACGTCTGGCTCCTACTCCTGTCAGCCTGGCCCGTCCTCGCAGGCCTGGAGTCTCGGGCCAGCCAAATGGGGCTTGACCCGTCTCCCACTGCACTGCTTCAGGCCTTAGTTTCCCTGTTTGTTCTGCAACAAAGTTTGGGTCTGTTAGGAGGGAAGGGCATCCGTCGGCCAACCTGATCTACTGGCGCCCCCTCCTGGCACCACACGGTATAAAGCCCCCGTTAACCCACAGAACGCTGTCATGAAGTCCATACGTCACCCCCTTTTACAGACGAGGAAACTGAGACTCAGAGAAGGTTAACCACTTGCGCCAGGTCAACAGCAAGTAGATGGCGGAGCCAAGGCACAGACAGGGGAAACGAGGGGTCGGCCCCGCAGGCCCTGACCGGTCACGCGCCCTCTGCCCGCAGAGCTGCCCCCCTCGGAGTTCCTGCAAGTGGCTGAGGCCACCTGGCTGGTGCTGAACGTGTCGTCCCACAGCGGAGCCGCGGTGCAAGCTGCGGGGGTCACGAAGATTGCCCGCTCGGTCATCGCGCCGCTGGCCGAGCACCACGTGTCTGTGCTGATGCTGTCCACCTACCAGACGGACTTCATCCTGGTGAGCTTCCCACGGGTGCCCGTGTCGGGAAGGGTGGGTCTGGCTGCCGGGGGACCCGCGTGATCTGCCATCTTCCCGTGGCCCAGGTGCGGGAGCAGGACCTGTCCGTGGTGATCCACACACTGGCCCAGGAGTTCGACATTTACCGAGAGGTGGGCGGGGAGCCCGTGCCTGTTGCCAGGGACGATTCCAGCAATGGCTGTCCCCGTGCTCAGCATGGTGAGGGCACCCTCTGGCACCCAGACCTGAGTGGGAGGGGGGCACCTCTTCCCACCGAGGCCCATTGCTTGTGTGCGGAAAGACTCGCTGCCACTGATCGATCGCCTCGCAAGATAGGGGCCCAGGGCTGGGGAAACCAACGCAGATAGGTGACTAGAACAGGAGGCTACACTCAACCCAGGCCCCTCCCTGGCCAGCCACCAGGGGGCGCCCCAGCCCACGGGCCTTCTCTCACTCTCCACCTCCTGGTTCCCCCCAGCAGGGCCCAACCCCACGGTGCATCCTATCCAGAGTCCACAGAACCGCTTTTGTGTCCTCACGCTGGACCCTGAAACACTGCCCGCCATCGCCACCACCCTCATCGACGTCCTCTTCTACTCCCACAGGTGGGCCTCTCGCATCTAGTCTCTCCGTCCTCACAGCCTCGTTCTCTGTGCTCTGTCCCACCACCCTCTGCCCCTCCGTTGGTTCGGCACCTCGGTGCCCTTCACTGGTGTTTGGGGACGGTCCCAGTGCCGCAGTGGGAGCCCTCTCCTGTGGTGTGGGCAGAGCCACCCTGGAGCCAGGCCCTGGTCAGGCCCTCAGGCCATGGGGTCCTTTGGAACAGACAGGGTTCATCGTCCTCCCCCAGCCCCTTCCCCACCTGGCACCATCAGAAGATCGGGGTCCTAGGACAGGGAAGGAAAGTGGCCCAGAGACGGGGGGGGGGGGCCTGCTCAGGGGTCTCGGGGCCGACTGGCGGGGGATGGAGTGGGCCTGGGACCCAGCAGGGTACCTGAACCTCCTGTCCATCACCAGTGCCCCCAAAGAGGCAGCCCCTGGCGAGCCGGGACCCAGCTCCATCACGTTCTTTGCCTTCTCCCTCATCGAGGGCTACATCTCCATCGTCATGGATGCGGAGACACAGAAAAAGTACGTGACCCCTGACCGAGGGTGGGCCGCCGCTGCTAAGCCAGGCCCAGGGAGGAAGGAGGCGGAGCGTCAGACTCTGAAGTCACCGGTCGCGCCTGCCTCCCCAGGTTCCCCAGTGACCTGCTGCTGACCAGCTCCTCGGGGGAGCTGTGGAGGATGGTGCGCATTGGAGGACAGCCCCTGGGCTTCGGTGAGCGCCGCCCCTGTGCGTGGGGGGCTGGGGAAGGGCCTGTGGAGCGACCAGCGTGATCCACATGGACCCCTCCTCCACCCGCAGATGAATGTGGGATCGTGGCCCAGATCGCGGGTCCCCTGGCCGCGGCCGACATCTCTGCCTACTACATCAGCACCTTCAACTTCGACCACGCCCTGGTGAGCACCCCGGGTGGGGGAAGGGGCTCCCGAAGGGATGCTGAGGCCCAGGAGGGTGGAGGGACCAGCGGTGACCCCTTCCTCCCCCGACCTGCCCACAGGTGCCCGAGGACGGCATCGACAGCGTCATCGAAGTCCTCCAGCGGCGGCAGGAGGGCCTGGGCTCCTGAGGCCACAGGGGAGCTGCAGCCTCTGCGCTCGCCCCTCACCCCCAGGCTTCCAGAGACTTCTCTAAGCTATTTCCCAAGCTCTGGGTGAGCCCACTTCCCTCTCCTCCCTCCCCCACTCATGCAGGGGGACCCCTACTCTCTGTATAAGCTGTGTGCAGACACCGGCTCTCGCGTGGACGCGCGTGTCTGCCCACACAGGGAACACGGTGCTCTGGGCTTCCACCGGGAAGCCCTCAACCCATCACTCCCCACCCAGCCTCGGCGTTTGCACATTCCCTGCCTGAGGCTGAGCCACACCCCTCAGCACCCGGGGCGCTGCTCCCTGGACAGGGCCCTGGTCTCCGTTCTGCGTCTGGTTGGGTTGTCTTCCCTGACCAGGTGGGTCCTGACAGTGCCTTCCCCTCAGGGGGCTTCGAGAAAAGTATTTTTATGTCTCTCTGCTCTTTTTTTTTTTTTACCAACTTGTTAATAAAGGGCTTGTAGTGTCCAGGCTGGGCTGTGGTCTTTGGGGTTGTCTGACCCCACCTCGGGCCCCACTGCCTGCGGTGCTGGTTCCCCGTGTACCATCCCATTGTCGATGCGGAACCGGAGCTTCAGGAAGCGAAGTGACTTAGCCACGGTCACACGATTCCCACCCAGGGCCGCCTGGCCCTGAAGTCTGGGCTCTTTCTTCATTCCTTGCTGCTCCCAGAATAGCCCAGAAGGTCCTGAACACGGGTAGAAACTCCAAGACCTCCTGCCTGGGGACCCCCAGCTTTCCCTCCACCATGGGCAGGGCTGACCGGTGGTGACACCCCACGGAGGGCCCAGGAACCCCTTTTCCTCCGGGCCGCTGCCTGCTTGCTGTTGGACCATGCCCGCGTCTGCCTGTCCTTCACAGGACTCCTCCGGCCAGGAGATCCTCAGTTCCTGCCCCCAGGGCTCTCCTGGCACCGTGTGGGGAGGAGATCAGCCCCAGTGAGAACTTGCGAATCCGCACTCCCTGTCCAGGGGGGCAGGATGCCTGTGTGTGTGGGGGGCGCATCTGGAGCCCACTCTGTTCTTTTTTTTTTTTAATATCTTTTTTATTGATTTCAGAGAGGAAGGGAGAGAGAGAATCATTGATCAGCTGCCTCCTGCATGCACCCTCTGGGGATCAAGCCCGCCACCTGGGCATGTGTCCTTGACCGAAATCAAACCTGGGACCTCTCCGTCCACAGGGCCATGCTCTATCCACTGAGCCACACCAGCCAGGGCCCACTCCGCTCTTGATGGCTGCACGCCTGGGCCAGAGGCTCAGTCAGCACATCTGGCCCCACGCTTCCTGTCACGGAGGGGCCGCCTCCCGCTCTGCGAGCTGGGATTCCACTGGGGCCTGATGGGGCCCCACAGATGCGGCGGGGGGTTATCAGGTGCCCTCAGCCCAGGCCCGCCCGCGCTCAGGAAGGGAAGAAGGGTGTGACTTCGTCGTACTCAGCTTGCGGTGGCTCCCCAGAAAAGTCAGAACGGGGGCCCGGCCTCTGGCAGTGCGCCCGCCCTGGCCCTGGGGACCTGGGGGCCTGCAGATCAGAGGAGCTGAGACGCATCCAGGCCTGGTGAGTGGGCAGTCAGGGGCCGGGGGCCAGGCATTTGCCCTGGGCCTCGGTTTCCCCAAGTGCATGGAGACAGGAGTCGGCTCCTTCAGGACCCTGTGCCCCATGGCCCTGGGCAGGGGGCGTTTCTCTATAGTTTGTCTTTCGTGGGGGGGGTAAGTGGGTCCCATTTCTCCTTGTGAGGCCCGTCCGAGACCTTGCCGGGCTCGAGCAACGTCCTGGGCTGAGGTGGGGGTTTTAGAGCCAAAATTATTAGAGTTCCTGGCCCCACCGTCAGCTCTGGGGTCCATCCATCGGTCTGTCTCCCCGAGTCCCTGCTTGGTTTCAGTGTTTCTGTCCTCCTGGCTTTCCAAGTGCCTCGGGCCTCACCCATTGCCTCGAACCCAACGTCAGTTAGTTCTTGGAGCTGCCCCCGGGAGGCAGCTGGGTGAGGGGGCCAGGCATGCCATGGGCTGGCCTGCCTCGGACCCAGGCCTTCAGATCGGCGTGCCCACGTGTCTCTTCATGTGGGTGTCTGGATGGGGGGTTTTCAGCTCCCAGCTCTCGGCCTTCAGTGAGTTACGAAAAGGGGCGTCTGCCCTTGGAGACCGAGACCCACTGGGGTGGGCACACGGGCCTCGGAGGTGCCCGGGGACACTTGGATCTGACCCTGGACCTCACCCACTGCTGGTGCCCCAGTGTTGTCATCAGACACGCCTGGAGGTGTCCCAGGCTGAGGTGGGGGCTCACAGAACCATGTCCTCGTCCCACCCGGGCCCTGGAGGGTTTTAGGGCAAAGAAGCGAGTCTGGTCAGCCCAGGCCTGGGGTTGGGCTCAGCTGGGGTCATTCATGATCGGGTTTGGGGGCGCCTGCTGGCCTGTAGCCCACGTCCTTGTCCTCCCAGCCCCGGGAGCCCCAGTGCACCTGTCCCGTCAGCACTGCCTCTCCCGGGCGAGGCTCAAGGCCCAGACTGTGGAGTCCGTGCTTGTCGTCATCAGGGTGGCAGCCTCGGCCTGGGCGGACCCTGCCCACGGTGCCTCGGGGAGTGGGAAGGTGCTCAGCCTCCAGCCGACCGCCAGCCTGGTGTCCGGCATCGGCAGGGAGGATGTGAGCCCGGGTGGGGGGCTCCTGGGTGGGTGGGGACGGAGATGAGGAAACCCCAGGCAGGGAGAGTCGGCGGCTCATTTCCACCCTCTCTGATGTTCATGCCCGTACAGAGGAAGTGACCTCTTCAGTCCTCCTCGAAGATATTTAAGCAGAAACTCGGGGTTTCTAGTCCTCGCCCCCACCCGTGCCGGGCAGGGCGTGTGGTCCCATGCTTGCCAAGATGCTCCAAAGCTGGGTTCTTGGTCCTTCGTGGAGGGGAGAGTGAACTGCACACCTTGTTGATGCTGCACAGGCCCCAGGGCTCCCCTGGGTGGGAAGGTACGAGGAGGGGGAGCGCAGTCTGCCTGTCACTGACTGAGCCTGGGGCGCTGCGTCCCCGTCCCCATGTGGGGGCTCCATCCACTCGTGGGTCCAACACATGCTCTTTATCCCCCTTAGCACACGGGGAAATGAAGCACAGAGAGGTGAGGCCACCTGCCCCAGGCCACACAGCTGGGCGCGGCAGAACCGGAACTCAAAAAAGAAGGAGCCAGGGGAGTTCCCGGGGGCCGGGGCACTTTAGCTGAACCCTGAGGGATGGGGTGATTTTGCAAGCTCCCTCGCAATCCCAGCTGTCTGCGTTGGTGGCTGGGTGTCTGCTGCCGGTGGCAACGCGTGCGTGGGCAGGCACGCGAGGCCTGGCCCTGGCTCCTCCCTGACCCTGGGCCCGCCGGATGGGTGTGTTGGGCAATGGCTGTGATGTGTGTCACTTTCCCAGGCCAGCCCGGTGCTGGGGCTTCAGAGCCAGGGCTGCCTCCGATGGGGCTGCGGGGAGCTCCCCTCGCAGGAACATGGTCACGGCCAAGTGGATGCATGAGCCGCACTCCACTCACAGGCCTTCGTGTATGTGCATCAGGATAGATAACTCCTTTGGCAGGAAGTGTGTGTATGTCCATCCACACGTGTCCAAGTGTCAGTGTATCCCGGTATGTGCCTGTGTGTGTGTCTGTGGTAGGTCCGTGTGTCTGTACGTGCATCCGGTTGTGTATGGCGTCAGCTGTGTGCCTGGCTCCATCTCTGCATGTATGTGTGTGTGTGTGTGTGTGTGTGTGTGTGTGTGTGTGTGGCTGGAGTGTGCATATGTGGCTGTGTGTACAGGTGAGTGTACGTGGTACATATTTCTGTGTACTTTTGACTGTGGCTGGGGAAGTTTGTGTGTGTGTGTGTGTGTGAGAGCACACATGCATCTGCATTTTTTGTGTTTTCACGGTCACACACGTGCCCATGTGTACCCTACTGTCCAGCGTGCAGGAGGCAGCCGATCAACGGTTCTCTCCTCATTGATGTTCCTCTCCCTCTCTCCCCCGCCCTCTCTCTCTCAAAATCAATGGAGGGACTATCCTTGGGTGAGGATTAAAAAAAAGAAAAAAGGCTCGGAGCCCATCCACTCCCCCGTCCATGCCCTCCGCCCCTCCTGCCCCCGTCCTCACGCTGTGGTGGACTAAGGACTCCCTCCTTCAAGTGCCGGGGAACCAGTCCAGCCGGCAGAAGAGAGACAGCCATCACATCCCGTGCGGCCTGGGCTTCAGGCAGGGACCAGGGCTCAGGGAAGTCACCCCGCCTTCCTGGCTGCCCCGCCCCATTGGCAGGACCCCACCCTGCCCCAGGGGATTGGAAGGTAGCTTTCCACGGGGACAGACCCGTGAGATCCTGGCTCAGAAACCCGGGCACGCGAGGGAGGCGTGTCTCCTGGGTCTGACGTCCGTCCTGGGAAAGGGTTCTGGCGGTCCTGCTAGACCCCAGGCTACCACCACCGCCGGGCACCCGGAACGGGCAGCTTGACAAACGGGCCTTCCAGGCCCTCCACTGCTGGACGCCGGCGTGTGCGTCTGTCCGCCCTGCAGGCCTGGGACGGAAAGGCCTTCAGAGTGACTTCACTCGCCCCGGGGGCTTGTCTCTTGCTGACGACGGATCCCCTGCACCAGGGCTGGGGCCTGACACACAGTGAGTCACTTAAGTACAGGTTGAACGAGGGACTCAAAAGCCCCTGATTTGTCTGTTTTTCAACATGTAGGGTTGTCCCTTCACATGAAGACGGGCCCCTTTTTCATTTTATTTTAAAAAGTATGTATTTTTATTGATTTCAGAGAAGAAAGGAGAGGGAGGGAGAGAGAAACATCAATGATGAGAATCGATCGGCTGCCTCCTGCACGCCCCACACTGGGGATTGAGCCCCGAAACCCAGCCTGTGCCCTGACCGGGAATCGAACCGTCACCTCCTGGTTCATAGGTCGATGCTCAACCACTGAGCCACACCAGCTGGGTGAGACTGGCCCCTTCCTCTGAGGCTGTCGGGTGCCACTGAGGCAGCATCTGTGAAGTGGGTGCTTTAAAGGAAGCAGGGGAAATGCCTCGTCTCTTTCTTTTTCAGTTCATTTTCCAGGAAACTGTGAACATCTGCAGTGAGCGGAAGACCAGCTTTGCGCTTCCGAACAATCACCATAAAGGAAGACGTCAGCGTCTTTGACACCGAGGCTTCCCCAAAAAGCGGTCATGTGCTTCGGGATGTCGTGAGTGACAGGATTCTGATTTCCTTGGGGAGGAGGGACCGGAGAGGGCAGGGCAAGGGCTCCGAGCGGGCCTGTCCCCGCCTGGCAGCGCGGTGGGCCTGCCCTTCCAGAGGACGTGGGATGGGGACATGTCCTGCACCCCGAAGGCCACAGACGCCTTTCCTGGGGCTTCTCTACGGCCGTGCATGCGTCCGTTCACTGAGGATTTAGTGAGCACCTACTACATTCAGGGCTAGTGATGTGCTCCAGAGAGGGGCGATGGGGAGAGACCCACAGTGCACATCCTTGGAATTTACAGTCCGGCTGAGGAGACAACCCCACAGTTGTAAAAATTTACAACTCTGAAGAGTGCTCCCTCGAGGGATACCATAGTGCTCTGGGAGGGCCCAGGGAGCAGGGGCACGAGCCAGCCTGGGGTGCAGGCAGGTCGGGGAGGGCTTCCCCGAGAGGCGAAGCTCGGCCTGGACCTTGATGTCCAGGCAGATGAGCAGGTGGAGTGCTGGGAACAGCATGTGCAAAGGCCCTGGGGTGAGAGGATCCAGCTCCCCGAGGGACTGAGGAGGACCAGGAGGACCGCAGGCTGCAGAGGTGTGAGTGAGGCTGGGAGGGTCAGGTCCTGGTGGCCGTGGTCATGACTTTGGCCTTCCCCAAATGGCAATGGGGCACCGGGGGAGTGGGACGGGGCTGGGTGGTACAGGCCGGTCCAGAGGGGCTGCAATGCCAGCAAAGTATTTCGCAAGTGGCTCCGTGTCCCCCTCCCTCCTCGCCTCCCTCTCTCTCTCTCTCTCTCTCTGGTCACTTCCTGCCACACCTGCTGTTCTCTGAACTGGGCCTGTGGGGTCTTGCCTGCATGTGGCCTCGTGCAGTTACCTGGAAGTGGAATGTACAGCATCTTTTTCCGGGTTCTGAATTCAGTGAAAGTGCTATCTTTAGACCTGCAGGGACGGAGGCCTCCGGGCCCACGCCCCCTCCTTGCCTCTGGCAGCCCCCCCTCCCCACCCAGGAGAGGATCTCCTGTTCCCCCGAGGAGACCCCTTCGTATTCCTTTCGGTTGAGCCTTTGCTCCCTCCCAGCTGTGTGCCCTTCTGCCAGGAGCCCCCTTTCCCCCCCCCCATTCAGGCCTCAGTTTCCCCATCTACAGGATAAAGACATTTCTGCCTCCTGAGGTGGTTGTGAGGTTCAATGAGCTCTCCCGTGGGAAACGCTCAGCGCCGGGCCCGCGCACAGAAGAGTCCGGAAACGCGCCCGCTGTCACCGCTGGGCGCACGCCTGGGCACCAAACAGTTTTTGGCAAGAATGTGATGTTTCAAAACAGGCGCTGTGTGTTGTCATCGTGAGGAAAGACAGGGCTCCTTGGACTTCCTGGTCCTCGGCTCATGGTTGGGGTTGTTTTATCTCCATGGCTGCTCAGGGCTCAGGGCTGTGGAGGGACCCCAAGGGGCTCTGTGGGGTTGTGGTCACCTCGCCTGTCCCCTCACCTCACAGAGGCCCGGGGCTCAGAGAGGGTGGCCAGGTGGGGGTGGGGGTGGAAGTGGGGCTTCCGGGCCAGAGAGTGGACAGCAGGGCAGCCCCTCATCCCTGGCCATTCCACTTCAGAGCTGTGCCGGCCCCCACCTGCCTTTTGGCTTGAGGGTTCCCTGCAGAGGGGCCCGGTCTAGGTCGAGGGCAGTAATGGCGAACCTCTGACACGCGTGTCAGAGGTGACACGCGAACTCATTTTTTTGGTTGATTTTTCTTTGTTAAATGGTATTTAAATATATAAAATAAATATCAAAAATATAAGTCTCTGTTTTACTATGGTTGCAAATATCAAAAAATTTCTATATGTGACACGGCGCCAGAGTTAAGTTAGGGTTTTTCAAAATGCTGACACGCCGAGCTCAGAAGGTTCGCCATCACTGGTCTAGGGTGAGCCGGACAGGAAGGTTCCGGCACAGAAATGAGTCCTCTCTCTCTCTCTCTCTCTCTCTCTCTCTCTCTCTCTCTCTCTCTCTCCTCTGCTGTACTTCCCTGGATACGTGTTTGGGCCACTTGGAAGGGGGATCAGTTATCCAATTTGGGGGAGCCACAGGGAGCAGGGGGACACGCCAGGTCCCAGAAGAGCTGTGTGGTGGTTCTCAGGCCGAAGCATCCCCCAGCCCAGCGTGACCTCACTGACCTGATAGAATCTTGCTCACCCTGGGGTTTATGTAACGACGTCTTTCCCAACCGCCCTCACAGTCACCCTGTGACATAAGCAGACGTGAGCCTTCATTGCCCAGTGGCTGGCGGGTAAGAGTTCAAAAAAGTGCCTACTAAGGGCCCGGGTCTCCGAGCGCGATCTCACTGAATCACGCTGACCGTCCCGTCAGGAGCACTTGCCACGGCATCTTAAGAAACGGAGGTCCAGCTCGCATACCACCACACGTGGCGTTTTAAAGTGCACACTCAGTGTTGTTGTTTTATGTATTCACAGGATTGTGCAACCATCGCCGCGACCTCATTCAAACACATTTCATCACCCCAAAGAAACCCTGCCCATCGGCCACCGCCCCTCATCCCCAGACGCCCCCCAACCCCAGCCCTGGGGAACCACGTCTGTCTCTATGGACGGTTCATAGAGAGGGAACCCTACAATCCGTGGCCTTTGTGACTGGCCACGCTCACGTGGCATAATGTCTCCAGGGCTCGCCCGCAGTTCCTCTCCGTGGCTGAGCGATATTCCATTGTATGGAGAGACCGCAGTTTTTAAATCCATTTCTGTTGGTGGTCACTGGGGCTGCGTCCACGCTGGGGCTGTTGTGAATAAATGCTGCTCTGAGCATGTGTGTGCATGTCCGTTCTCAGTTCTCTCGGGCGTGTCTAGGTGTGAGGCAGTGAGGTGTCTGACACCTCTATGTTTAACCCTGTGAGGCACTGACAGCCTGTCTCCCCGGGGCTCGGGCTCCTCCACATCCTCTCCAGCACGTGTCACATCTGCCTGTGATTATAGCCACTCGTGGGTGTGAAACGGTACCTCACTGTGGTTTTGATTTGCATCTCCCTGACGGCTAGTGATCTTGACCATCTTTGCTTGTATTTACTGGGCATTCGTCTTTCTCTTTTGGAGAAATGTCTAATCAAATCCTCTGACCATTTAAAAAAAATTATATATGTATATTTTTTATTGATTTTAGAGAGAGGAAGGGAGAGGGAGAGAAACATCAATGATGAGAGAGAATCATCGATCAGCTGCCTCCTGCGTGGGCTCTACTGGGGATCGAGCCCGCAACCTGGGCTCCTGCCCTGATCAGGAATCAAACCGTGTGACCTCCTGGTTCATAGGCCAACCCTCAACCACTGAGCCACACTGGCCGGGCCATTTTTGTTTGTTTGTTAAATATAATCCTCCCCTAAGAGCTTTTGGGGGGTGGTCCTTCCGGGCCTCACGAGAAGGACTCCTGACCACCTCTCTGCGAAGGCCCAGCCCACACAGCCGTGTACGTTCACACGCAGCTTGGGAAGCACGCAGGCGTCGAAGACACTCGCTTTGCAAATGTCCCTAACGGCTGCGGCCTCTTCTGTGTTTCAAAGGACGAGGTTCCTAATGGCCTTGTCCTCGGGCTCGCGTCGGCGCAGCTGGTGCCGCTAACAGGCCTTCTCCGCACAACCGTTGTTCCTTCCTCTCCTGGTCATCTTGGCAGCGAGGGCCCAAGAGAGAGGCCCCTTGGCCCACTTTTGAACTGGGTTGCTTGTCTCTTGATAAGTTGTGCCGCTGCCATCTACAGAGTGGACACGGAGGCGCTGTGACTGGATCGAGAACACGGTGCAGCCCGGCCGGCGTGGCTCAGTGTTTGAGCGTCGACCTGTGAACCAGGAGGTCACGGTTCGATTCCTGGTCAGGGCACAGGCCGGGTTGTGGGCTCGATCCCCAGTGGTGGGGCGGTGCAGAGCAGCCGATCCATGAT